CAAGCTTAACTGGTGCGCCGTTATGTCTGGAAGGATCCCTGTTATATCTAGATGGGACCAGGCAAAACAGTCGATGTTATTGATAAGAAATTGAATGAGTTTCTTCCTGAGTTCGGAGCTCAAACCCGTTCCCAGGTATACCTTTCATTCAAGCCAGTGTTCGATCAGTACGATTTGCTCCAGTTCCTCAATTGTTGATTTGGTGGCATCGAAATCATCAGGGGTTACGAAGGATCGAGGGATCCATCGATCATCATCGTCTTCTTCAACATTCTGCTTACCTGGCTGGGTCGAAGATGATGTCTGTGATTGCTATTTGGTGCTCTGCTTTGAACCTGGCGAGGATATTGATTTTGCTTCTTCGACGGAGAACATTTCCTTTGCGGCCGGTTGTTCCCCGTACACTATTTTGACACCTCCCGATGTTGGGAATTTGAGGACCTGGTGCAGGGTCGAGGGTACGGCTCTCATGCTGTGGATCCACGGCCTTCCGAAGAGGGCGTTATATCTCATATCACCTTCGATCACGTGAAACTTTGTTTGCTGGATGGTTCCGGCCACGTTTATCAGTAGGGTAATCTCGCCTTTAGTGGTTTCACATTCCATATTGAATCCGTTTAGAACCAGAGTTACGGGTACGACCTGATCTTGCAGGCCGAGCTATTCTACGACCCTCGATCTGATGATATTAGCCGAGCTGCCTAGATCAATTAACACATGCTTAATCTTAGTTTTATTCATGAGTACGAATATTACCAGTGCATCGTTATGGGGTTGGATGATTCCCTCTGTATCTTCATCACTGAAAGATAAAGTCCCTGTGGGTGTATAATCTTGAGTTCGAGATCGCATCACAATCGACGTTTTAGTGCGTTTAAGCATCGGTCCCTGGGGGGCATCGACGCCGCCGACGATCATGTGAGTGACGTGTTGCGGTTCTTCTGGCTCATTTTGCTTGACGAATTCCTTGTGTCTAAAATGGTTCTTCGCACTATAATTCCCGAAGGTGCCCTTTGTTAAATAAGCAGGCCACTTCTTCTCTTAGTTGCCTGCAATCTTCCGTTCTGTGACCATGGGTGCCATGATATTCACACATTTGATTGGGATTCCTTTAGGCAGGATCGGTTTGCATGGGTCGAGGCCATCTGGTGTCTTTGATGCGTCTGATGGCCGATACGATGGCGGATGTACCAATGTTGAAGTTATACTCCGATAGTCGAGGGACTTCTATACGATCTGTATATTTATCAAAGCTGCTCTTGCTTATAAGTCCCTGAGAATTTTGCCCCCGATCAATCCTTCGGTTGTTTCGAACCGTATCACGTGCTGAACCGTTGTTCATCCGATCTGTGTCGTACGGTTGGTATCGGTCTCTGTTCGACCTTTGTTCTTTGTTGGTTTCCCTTTGATTTTTAGTGGTCGTACGGTTTTGATGTACGGGCCCAAACGGAGCTCCCAATTGATCATCTTCAACCCTGATTTTTGATTGGTATTGGTTTTGTACATCTGCCCAAGTTATTGCTGGGTACTCGATCAAATTTTATTTCAGCCGACGTGATGCTGTCGAACTTAGCCCGTTCAGTCCTTGGGTGAAAGCTTGTACGGCCCAATCGTCTGTGACCGGTGGCAAGTCCATACGCTCCATTTAAAATCGGGATACGAATTCCCTCAGTATTTCGTTACCCCTTTGTTTTACTTTGAAGAGGTCCGATTTCCTTGTTGCAACCTTTATGGCACCAGCATGTGCTTTTATGAACGAATCTGCTAACATGGCGAAAGAATCAACGGAATTTGGTGGTAAGTTGTGATACCAGATCATTGCTCCCTTTGCGAGGGTCTCTCCGAACTTTTTCAACAACACGGATTCGATCTCATCATCCTCCAAATCGTTGCCTTTGATGGCACATGTGTAGGAGGTGACGTGTTCGTTAGGATCGGTCGTACCATTATATTTGGGAATTTCGGGCATACGGAATTTTTTGGGGATTGGTTTTGGGGCCGCGCTCGAGGGAAAAGACTTTTGTATGAATTTTTTCGAATCGAGCCCTTTTATCATTGGCGGAGCCCCCAGAATTTGATCGACCCTAGCGTTATACATTTCCACTTTTTTGTCGTTGGCTTTGACTCGCTTTGTGAGTTCCTCGAGCAATTTAGCAATTTCAGGAGCGGTCCTGATTCCTGCTCGTTTGATTTCACTACGGCGGGTTCCGTTCTAGGGGTGACTTCTTGAAGAAGCGGATTGGAGTTCGGCCCGCTTTGCGTATGAGTCCGGCTCTGCAACTGAGCTATCACTGCTTGTTGGGCTTATAACATTTCGAAAATCATACGCAAGCTGACCCCGATTTTCCCCGTGCTGTAGGTGTCGCGGGCTATGGATCGAGCACCGCCATGAATGCTTCTTTCCGGTTTAGAACGCTGATTCGCTTCTAGAGATATTTGCGAATTGATATCCAGTGGTACTTCGGCTCAAATTTCGGGTTCTTCGATTCGAGCCTCGTTGCCGTTGTCAGGTAGCCTTCCGGCCCCGGGCACCAAGTTGTTGGTTTCATCTTGAAGGCCGGCTTCGAGGTCGATAGGTAGAGCCATTGCTGATTCAAAGTTGTAAGNCAAATTTCGGGTTCTTCGATTCGAGCCTCGTTGCCGTTGTCAGGTAGCCTTCCGGCCCCGGGCACCAAGTTGTTGGTTTCATCTTGAAGGCCGGCTTCGAGGTCGATAGGTAGAGCCATTGCTGATTTGAAGTTGTAAGCTGGAGTGTACTGTAGATTTATATCAAACAATCACTGTTACCCTTAGCCCCACGGTGGACGCCAAACTGTTTACCCGAAAAATCGGATAACGTTAAATTTAGATATGGTTCTAAGGGTATGCAAATTTCTTTGATACAAAATGACAATACATGTATTTTTTGCTATGAAATGGGAATGATGGACGGGAAGACTCGAAAATATTAGGACAACAAGCACAATGAAATCTTAATGTATTTTTTGAGGACCCCGTGTCTATTGCAGTCTATCTCCCTTTTTATAGTAGAGGGTCACTATTTTATCTATAACAACATAATAAAATAATACATATAGTGGAGAACCCATAATAGTTTGTCTCTCCCTTGATTCTCGCCAAGATTTTCTCCCTTGGTGCGGTTGTAATGGCTCTTGTCTGCGAGCTTGGAACTGACTCGAGCTCGGTACTAGATCGAATCCCCAGTCTTAGTTCGAGCTCGGTTCTGCCTTGGAGCATCGATATTCGGGGCTGTGTCGATCGGCATTGCTCCGTAGTCCGATTCGGACACGGGCTCGATAATGATATCAAGTTTTGCCGTTGATTGGTTTTATAGCTCGAAGCTCGACGTCTCTACTTCAGAATTCGTTCGAGCTTGGCATGTGGATACCCTTCGATTGAAACGTCATTGTCTCGGCCGGTCTTTGTGACTGAGAATCGATTTTGACCGTACACAAGTATATTTTTGGTTCGTAAGTAAATTTTATTGGACGAAAGAAACAATTGCATCATATACAAAGCATAACCACATACGAACTTAGGAAATTACAAGATCCTTAACTAAAAATACTAGGTCAAGATTATAACTAATTGATCATGAGCTCCCAATTTATTATAGCATTAGATTCGTCATGTTATTTCGTTACAACATACTGTATTCCACATATAATATTAAAGTTTAAGTTATATACATTATATGGAATCTTTTACACCATCATATCAAACAATGAATATTTACACGTAAGCCTTTTGAAAATGTGATTTGTTATTTTAAAAATAAGATAAGTTACTTACTAAACAGGTAAAGGTAACATGTTGGTGTAGAAATTGCACACACTAACCAATATATATAACTTAAATTCATTTTAATATAATGCAGAGGGAATGTTGGGATAAAGATAGCTTTTTACCAAACCCTTAACTACTTTAGGGATAAATTCATGTCATGCATTTGTTATCACTTGCATGGCTATTTCTTGCCTGCTTACGCATTGTAAGATACTTGAGATTTAAGTAAATCCATGTCGCCCTATATAAAACCAAATTAGGAGCTGATTTCTTCTGATAATTTAAATCCGTCGTGATAAGTTACTCTTTTGCTTCGAGTAGTTGTTGGAGGATATTATTAGTATAAAAAGTTAATCTAAACCAGATAATTCAATCATGTTTAGGTAGCTGATATGTTTCATCAATTTTCTAATTAATGTGATCTTGTTTACTACACCAAGCAAATGACGTATTGCTGGAATAGAGCATAGCTGCTTGAGTCGTTGTGAATAAAGAGTTTAACATAATGCGCAATTCCTTAATCATTAGATGGTTAACACGTTAGGTCTATATTAACTTGAAATACGATAGTCATCGTTTTGTATGTTTTTGTTTACTCGCCGTCGTCGTCGTTTTCTTCTTCTTCTTTTACAGTGACACTTCAAAATTCTTTATACTATCAGCGAACTATTTTCTTTGATAACATTTATTATTTTTATCAGATTATCGATTAGTGCTTGTTGTAGCAATTTACATATAATTACCTATTAAGTGACTAAATCTAGTAAATATTACTTATATTATCGGTGCATAATATTTAAACTGTATAACGTACCGGATAATGATAGTTAGCGATCTTGCAAGATCCTTATACAATATGATCTCATGGAATCAGAGTTATAACCGCGATTACAACTTCACTTATAGATCACTTAGGTGCAAAGTTCCAATCTCACTTAAAGTTCTCCTCTCTCTATGCACGTGCACACACCCAATGCAAAGAAAATTTTAAAATCAAAAAGAAAATAAAAAGGAGAAAAAAATCAAACTGGATAGCCTCATATAATGCAAAGAGAATTTTCATTTCCATGGCAATTTAATAAGTTTTTGTCATAAGGAAAGGCCAAGTTAGTCATTTCCAATTTCCTTTTTTCTATGAAGAAATTATGAGTACGTCATAATCTCTTGTGAACCTTGTGGTACTCATATGCAGGATACAAACAAACAGATCATATATGTTTTTGAAAGCTCCATCTTCTCTTTAAAAAGCCATCACAAACACCGCAGCAATATGAGCAAAGAAATAAAGAAGAAACAGCATAACATATGGGATCCAAAGACCAAAAAATTGCATTGCTCAATCAACATTTGGAGCAACTCGGTTCAATTACTAATTCCCCTTCTGTAAAAATCCTCTCATTTTTTCTATTTTAATTTCTTACTTCATTTAATTTTCTCTGCTCGTGATTCAATTTATTTTCTTTGATTTTTTTTCTTTTTGAGAGGGGGTTGGATTTATCATGAATTGATAAATTTTACGCTAGTAATCGTCAGCCTACCCAACTTGTTTGAGATTAACACGTAATTACATTGTTGTTTTTTTTGGGGGGGAGGGGGGGGTGTTGATTTCTCTATTTTCCATGATGATGAAATTGAAGGAAAATTTTAAATCCTTTTTTGAGTAGACGAATGTAATGATAAGTGTTTATTCATCTTTTTGAAAGTAACTTTAATCACTGAAAATGAATACTATGAATAGGAGACTGATTCTAATGAAACGACTTCCTTCTGGATCGGTTTTCATACATGATATCCAAAATTAATGTACCCTATATTGGTTACGTATGTCTTAATATATAATTTTATCTGTTAAAGAAACAAAAAAAAAATTAATTTCTTTCGGATGTGAGTGTACAGTGAAGGTTAACAGTGAATCATTTAGTTGAATTTAATTTTGCTCTTAGAAGTGGTTGTAAATTATTTTGTAAGACGACCCATTGGTTAATTTAGTGGTTAATTTTCAGGTGAATAAGGCATCAATCATCGTCCATGCATCTAAGTACATAGAGGAATTAAAGGAAAGGATAGACAAGTTAAATGAAGATGTCTCAACCTCACAACCTTCTCATGTTGATGATGAAAATTCCTTACCATTGGTATGTATATCTTAGCCATATGCTTTAATTTTCCTTTCTTTTTGAGAAATTTAGTTTCTTTAGCATATAAATCATCAACGGGGACTTTTTCCATGTCAATGTCATATTTCATTGATCAGGACAAAGAAAAACTACATTCTTGAATGAAGCAGGAAATATATTACTTACTTACTTTCCCGAATTCTTGGAAGCTATACAGAAGACATGCGAATTGAAACTGCACATATATAATTGCATAAAAAGTAGATGTAGATACATATAATATTTTAATTTAATAAGAGAATATAGAAATTTTTTAGGCAATGTTATATTTTGGCTCTCGAAAATTGAAATTAATAAGATTCTCAATTGGTGATGTTCCTTCAATTCTTTAATGCATATTCATACATTGTGTCAAAGCTCGAACAGATTTTCAATTAGTAATTTTTAGAATATATAATTCAATAAATGAAAACTGTACCAGCCTCTCCATACATGCACAGTATTGTCCGCTACTTCGTTTCAGCAAAAGAATTTTTCCGCATCCTATATTTACATCAAATTATATACAAATTTACTAATTCGCACAATAAATTAAATAAGAGACAACTATATTATCACCAACGTCTATTATCATCCTCTAGATGAAACAATGATACATTTTTCTTTCTTAGTTTCCTCATTTACCACAAAGAGATGAATAGTACAGAGATTAGTTGGATTCTATCTCGAACATTTTTAAGGTAGTACCACGTTATACAAGAGTTGATACTAATAATTAAATGATGATTTAAAACAGTTTTAGGAGGGTGGAGTTTGTGCTTCTCTGATCCTCCATGTTTGGGTAACTTGTTGTCTATGAAACCCCACATCACCATGGGAGATGATAGCCCGGGTGAATAGCTTAATTAAAAAATAAAAAGTTACCCAAAAAAGTGTTTTTGTACCGTTCAAACTTACATCTAAAAGAGCACGCAAGCTTTTGACTTTTCTCCTATATATAATTATAAGCTGTAATTCCCTTTTACTTTTCACCAATCTTCTCTCCGTATAATTTTATTCAAATTCCTCTTTATAATTCCTTCAGCATAGGCGGTTTTACTCGAAATGTAAAATCACTATTTATTTTATAAAAAAGTAATTTTTAATTTTACGAATTTACTACCGGTCTAATGCATGTTTCTTCGGAAAAAGTCTCATTCATGCCAGTGAACTATACAAGATTGGGCACATTTGCCCCTCGTTAAAAGGTGATCTCAATCCTGCCCTTGCCGTGTATAAGGTGGCTCACATATGCCATATTTTAGACGGACAACCCTAAAAAAATATTTAGCACCAAATTTTGACACGTGTCACAATCTGATGCAATCCATCTATACCCTAATTTAAATAACAAACCAATCCGACCCATCACCCTTATTTTAATAAACCAACCCGACCCAGTACCCTATTTTAATAAACCCCAATCGATTTTATTACCCCACTCACTTTCACCTTGCTTTCTTCTCCCAAATCCCAATTTCGATGTTTCTTTAAGAAAAATGTTATAACATAGGTAATTAACGAAGATGTGGAGGCCGCTTGATCAATAGATTTGCAAAGTAAAGAGTTCCCAACTAAAGTTCTTTAGTATAGGAAAGTATTCAAGTCTGACTCTTTCATCTAAAAGTTTAAACTATTAGAGAGGACAATCTTTTATTTGTTTAACTATATCTCTTCAACAAGTACATTAGAATGAGTATTTGACTAATGGTCAACTTTACACTACAGGTTACAGTAGAAACCCTAGAAAAGGGATTTGTAATAAATGTGTTCTCAGAAAAGAATTGCCCTGGATTGTTAGTCTCCATTTTGGAAGCATTTGAAGAGCTTGGCCTTGAATTATCGGATGCTAGGGTTTCTTGTTCCGATAGTTTTCGCCTTGAAGCTGTTAGTGAAGTAAGATTTCTCTCTCTTTTACTTCTCTTCTTCCTTTCTATTTCTTGTTTGTGGCAAACATAATTTCTTTTATATATTGCTAGTATAGTATTCAAGAAATAGTTTTCTCCATGTGATGCGGCATGTTTAAAACTTCACGTGTGACTTGTACAAATCCACCTCGTTATTTGAACCACACACTTCGGATTTTTAATTTTGCGTTACCAATTGATGAGTGACCAAATTTTTATTGTTTCTTTCTCTTCCGGTTTTTAAGAAGTTTTTGATGCTCCTTAACACCGTCGTTTATGCACCGAAACATAGAATACCTGATATCAGGGGCGGGGCGGATTTACATTGGATGGAGCAGTGTTACGTGACACCATTTAATCGAAAAATTTCACTTCTGAACAGTAAAAACGATATAAAAATAAGTGGAGGATACCACTTCATGAACACGTTCCTTTGGTCCAGCGGGGGAAGATGCTACATATTATTAGATAGGTGACAGCAACAAGTCCCCACTGTGTAGCTTGGCTTCTTTTTTTCCTTTTAGCAAAATACTCACTATATCAATCTTGCTAAGTACTGTCATCTTTACCTGCTAGTGACCAAGGTTTAGCATTATTTATTTATTACTTTCTTTTTTTGAAATTGTTATCCCTTTTTTTGTTTTCCTTTTTGAATGTTAATGACAATTACATTATTGCATTTAACTGACTTTTTATTTATACGATCTTCTTACAATGATTTATTTATGTGTTCATTCATTTAAATGTAGCATCGCTTGCAAAAAAGTTTGCCTACGCCACTGCTTGATATTTCCTTTTAAATAAATTACAGAAACCATATTATACAAAGTTCCTTTGTGTTATCCAAAATTAGTTTAACCTTTTGTGCTTATATCCCATTAAATTTTGTAAAATTTTCTTTAATAAGCAAAGCAATTCAAAAAACCTTAAACCACATGTGATAAAAATCTGATACAAGTGATTAGTAAACTTTTGAAAGTTGCATATTTGACATTAAAAATAAGATAATTTGTTGCTCTAACTAATATTATTTAAGGGAAAAGGTTTTCAAGTAATTAAGTTTTGATTTCGTCAGTCGCATTGAGAGGGTAGTGAATGAAACTTTTAGAACATATGAGGTAGGTTTTGTTCATATATTTTGCTCACTTTGGATTTCGGCAGTCAAATCCATCACTGAGAGGGTACTAATTGCATATCTTATATGTGAAGAGTTTAAGTTCCATGAACTGAAGGCGTAAATATTATTTACACAATAAAAAGTCACTTATATAGTAGTTATTTGTAAATTTTCATGATAAACATTAATGGATAACATGATAATATTGCTAACAGACTTGTTAATTGTTATTACAAGTTAACGTATTCTGTTAGTGTGAAAACATCTTCACGGCGGTAATGTTTGTGGCTTAAATCCATTATACATATGGTTAACAAAGTTGTTGTTATTGCAGACCGAAGGACAGATTGATAGAGTAGATGCCCAAATGGTAAAACAATCAGTCTTGGAAGCTATAAGGAACTGGAGCCAAAGCAATGAACAAGATTAATTTAATTAATCAGTTTTTGTTATAGATCGTCTCCTCCCTCTGTTCTTTAAACATATCCCTAGCTACTTACCAACCAACCCATAAAAAAAGGAAAAAGCAAAGAGGCAAATAAACAAAAAGGAAAAGTCTTTTTTGTAGCTCCTGCATGTTATAATTAAGATCAATCAACAACGTATATCATTCCGAAAACGAGCTTGAGCCAACCCATGGCTGACCACTTGCATATCAGAAGTTATATAATGAATCAAAAAGGATGGGAAAGTGTTAACATAAGGCAACAGCCTATGCCTTAATGGTAGAGGTGGAGTCAGGATTTAAAACTCATGAATTTAGAAGTTTAGTCTTTTTAGATTATTGGGTTCGAAATTTATAATTTTTATATATTCTATAAAAAATTTAAAACAAATATAGGATTGAACTAAAGTTATTGGATTCGGCCGAACCCATAATATAACCAACACACAGGCTTTGCCCCTGCTTAATGGATTCAAACCTGATTTTTAGAGGCGGATCCACGCCGAAAGTACTGATTCAGACCCGGTGTTAAAGTGTTGCATCCGCCTCCACTGGTTTCTAATCATGATTTCATATGCACTATATATGATAAAAAATCATGGTTGATTCTTTTTTTTTTTTTTGGTTCCTTGGGTGCTAGGAGCTCTAGCATTAAAACGAACTAAATAACTTCAGCATATTCTCTCTTAAGTTTCGAAAAAAATCATTACAAAAATTACAGATTGCTGGACAAAACTTCAGCATGTTTTGTATGAAGGTTTAGGAATTGAACAAAAAAATTTCCGCACGGATAAGTCTGACTCTTAAAAGATGTAGTTACAGCCTTATATATGCCTATTAACGAGAAATGTTTGCAAAACAACTTCAACCTATAAAGTGTGACTATCAAAAGCTATAAACTTCAGATAAGAAAAGTTCAAGTTTCTAATTTATATATGCTAACTTCAGCTTATAAGGCATGAAGTTTTACGTTGAGGCGTACTATATTATTACATTAAAATGAGAATGCAGCCTTCAAAATTGAAAAAAATTATACACAAAAACGAAACAAGATTTTTATTTATATAACATAATACAACATAAATATTAACAAAAGACCACCATCATCAGAACATTAACAAAACAAAAGAAGAGCCACAAAAAATATTAATAAAAACACAGAAGAAAAACATAAAAAGGGATTACAAAAACTAAGCATCACCACCATCATCAGAACAGTACTCCTCAATTTCTCGATAATCTCATCATCATCCGAATCAGAGATAATTATAGGATACTCGGGCAAAAGACCACTAAGTCTAATGAGATCGCACTTCAACTTGTTGAATTGATCACGCAACTGATTTTATTCAATTATTACTCTGTCCATAAGATAAGGAAGACTCTTCAAGCTATTTTGCAGCTTGGCATACTCGTCCCAGATGGGAAACTTAAAACAATCAAACTGCTGGACAACCTTGTCGAACGAGGTTGAATAACCTTCACAACTGTGTTCGAGGTTCACCCTGTTCTAGAATGATTCATCGGCAAAAAACTGTGGTCTAATTCTTTCCCAATCAGCCTTTATTTCATCCCACGTCTGCATAAGATTAGCCATTGTTTTTTTAAAAAAAGCTAAAAGACTAAGGATGGATATAAATTTAAAGAAATATAATAGAAGTCTATGGATGACTATGAAATTTTCAAGTGAAGAGATTGTTAATATAGCCAAAGAGTACACCTAATCAATTTAATATGTATAAATGCAAAGGTAACTTCTCACGTCTGTTTACTGTTTTACGTTCAGAGAAATTGAATATTACAAGATAAGTAGGTGGCAAAAGAAAACAAGTAGGTGGTAAATGCAAAAAGAAATATAACTTCAGCCTAATAAGTCCACAGTTTTTCTATAGTAAAAAATTAACTTCAGTCTGAAAAGTAACTTTTCAGGTAATTTACTATACGGTTAGACAAATTTAAATATAAGATGTAGTAGGTGGTAAAAGACAAAAAGTAGCTAGTAAATACAAAAAAGATAAGTTTCAAGTTAAAAAATACCAAAACATGCTAAAATTTTGTCCTGCAGTCTGCAGTTTAGCAATGAGTTTTCCCTAAAGACTTCAGAATAAAAATACTGAAGTTATTTAGTTCAATTGCTACAACTTAAGACTGAAAATGCTGAAGTTGTCTCTTACAGTACGTAATTTTCTATTGAGGTTTTAGCTAATTTCAAACTTATACTTGCTAAAGTTTTTTTGTTCGTTTCCTAACACTTCACACTAAACATGCTGAAGGTAAAACCCCATGCTAATATAGCTTGAAGTTATTTCACATTTAAGCTAAAACTTCAAGCTAGTGAATGCTGAAGTTATTTAGTTCATTTGCTAAAACTTCATACCAAAACATGCTGAAGTTTTGTCTGGCGACCACTTGGCTTAAGTCGAAATTAAAGGAATACTGTTTCGGCAGATGTCCATGTGATACCACATGAAAGGTCAATGCCTTTTACGTAGTTGGCCACCTTTTCAGCAGTTGATTCTTCAATAAACCAGGTAAACTCAGTAAGTTCCTCAATCTCTACTTCTTCTTCTTCATAATCCTCAGCTTCCTATTTTTTGACAGCCCGCTTTCTCTTTGATTTGCTCTTTTTCCCTTCCATTTTCTTCTCCTCCATTCTCTTTTCTTTTCTTATTCTAATTTTCTCCTTCTGTTCATCTGGAGGATTAACATGTCACGGCCCAAATTTACCTAGTCGTGATGGCACCTAACCTGTAATGACCCGATCGGTCATTTTGAGCTCCAGTATGTTGTTCGGTAGTTTTAGGCCTTGACTAGCTTCACTTAAGGTATTATGACTTGTGCGCGTGGTCAGAATTGAATTTCGGGTAGTTTGGAGATGATTTAGAAAGAAAATTCTAATTTCGGAAGCCTTAAGTTGGAAGAATTGACTAAGGTTTGATTTTTGAGTAAACGACCTCGGAATCGGGATTGGAAGGTTCCAACAGGTTCGTATGATGATTTTGGACTTAGGCGTATGTCCGGATCGGGTTTTAGATGACCCGAGAGCATTTCGGCACTTATTGTGGAAGTTGACATTTTGGAAGGATTTTGTAAATTTGGGTTGGAGTGCATTTCAATGCTATCGATGTCAATTTGGGATTCTGAGTCTGGGAATAGCTCCATATGGTTATTATGGTATTGGGAGCGCGTCCAGAAGTGGATTTGGAGGTCCGTAGGTTATTTCGGGGTTATTTGGTGAAAGTTAGAAATTTGAAGATTTTTGGAGAGTTTCACCGGGAGTGAACTTTTTGATATCGGGGTCAAATTCCGATTCAGGAAGTTGGAGTAGGTCCATAATGTCAATTATGACTTTTGTGCAAAATTTGAGGTCAATCGGACGTGATTTGATAGGTTTCGGCATCGAAGGTAGACATTTGAAGCTTCAAAGTTTATTAGGTTTGAATTGGAGGGTGATTCATAGTTTCGATATTGTTTGATGTGATTTGAAGGCTCGTCTGAGATTGTAATGTATTTTGGGATGTGTTGGTATAATTGGTTGGGGTCCCGAGGGCCTCGGGTGGAATCCGGATAGTAAACGGATCGAGTTGGGACTTGGAAGAAGGGTTGGGGGCTGCTGTCTTCTGGTGTAACCGCACCTACGAGGTTAGGGCCATAGGTGCCGAGCCGCAGAAGAAGCCATGAGGGTCGTAGAAACGGCTTAGGTTGGGGAAGGCTGGGACAACAGATGCGGTCGAGTTCCGCAGAAGTGGGACCGCACCTGCGTACGTGGAGCCGCAGAAGCGAAGGCGCAGAAGCGGATGAGGGCCGCAGATGTGGAGTTGAGGGGTATGAAGGAGAACCGCAGAAGCGGTAATCTGGATGCACCTGTGGAACCGCAAAAGCAGTCAAGGGACCGCAGGTGCGAGAGGTCGCTGGGCAGATTGTTTTAAAGAGCGAGATTTGGCTCTTCTTCTCTCATTTTCCACTTGGTTGAGGCGATTTTGGAGAGCTTCGAGGAGGTATTTTCATCAAGCAACACAAGGTAAGTGATTCCCACCTATTGCAAGTTAAATATATGATTTGTATAAGGATTTAAGCATGAAAATTAGTAGAAATTGTGGGGGTTTTGGTAGAAAACCTAGAATTTATTTTTTGGATTT